GCAACTTTACGAAAGACCAATAGTTTGGGAAGAATATTTTGGTTTTCGCGGTTACTCTTAGAACAAATGCAATAATATATACAACATAGAATGCTATTGATTATTGAAAATGTACTGATATATTATTATTAAGATGAAATGGAAAAATGTTCTTTAAATTGGCATCACAGGTGATCCGTAAATAAAGCAAACTAACATGTAAATACAACTATATCAATGCATGTTACATTGACAAAAAGAAAATACACGTGGAAATAAACATAAAAACATTACCCAATTATCCATTAATAAATAATTTACAATTTCAAATGGTTAAAGTGTAATGTCCAATACATTTTTGACTTCTACAATATCTGTCAACAAAATGAGTACACATCCAATCAGGAGAAAAAATGGAACACAAATTTCCATAAGTATGATTAACAAATCGTCGGTTTAAAATTCCAATTTGTTGAATTTCATAATATGTTTAAACCAAATGCTTGAATACGATTTAACTTTTTAAGTTTGTACAGTATTCATCCGTCAACCCAATACCAAATATTTAACTGTGTTTGACTTTGTCTGATGAACAAATAAAATGTCCCAACAATATCAACAGAACAGCTTAGAATGCGTCATAATTAGAATAAACGTAGATTAACTGAAATCATTGCGTTGAGTGAAGCAAATGATGGCAAGCACAGCCTAACGAGGCAGGGTTAGCCAACAACGCCATCTTGTTTTATCGCCTTATGTCAGATGCTTACTCTCTAGTACTCCAAACCTAAACATAATTTATTTAGTTATTCAAACATGATGATCATGATATTCTCTTGAACTATTCGAATATTGCTGCCTTGGGGTACTATGGACTTAATATAATACCGCAAAGCATAGCATATGGCACACGATAGTGTTATTAAATATAAATTCACACACCTCCATAAGGTGACGTGCTATCATAGCTCGCGCGATTTGTGCAGACACATTGCCAGTCGTCAGCGCTCGCAGCAGAGGAGGTGGTAGACCGTGGCTGCTGCCTGAATTGTCGATTATTTGTTTCATCAGTAATGCCCTGAGTATAGGTTTATTTCCCAACGCTCCATCCAATGGGCCACCTTCGCCTCCATCACCAAACGACTCATTTGCCAATGCATCTATAATACAAATATAATAGTTACCAGCCTACTAATAGTGCACGAGAACACAAGTATACGGTCTTACATGGCCAAAGTTAATGGAATGAGTCATCCAAACCATTGTACCCGTCAACATCCCAGACATCAAATGGCTAAAGAAATACTTATATTTGAAACTTTAAATAAGCAAAAAATCAGATACTATACTAGAGTTAATTGCGTGGCAAGATAAATACTATGTTGAAATGTCCTACATGCATGACACGAGCCGATGCTCGCGTATGACACCAACTCGCATATCTACAATTCAAGGCACGTTGCACCACGACCCCTCCAAGCAAGGACGCTAAATAATCACAGGGACCGTGAAAGACGTCCCTGCCGATATCTGTATAAATACGCTGTGTTGATTATTATGGGCGAACACAATCAACTTACACAATCATTCACACCGTCGGGATTAAAGGTTTATTTTCAGTGTTTAAGCTTTAAATCATATAGCAGAGAACAAAAACTTGTAAATCCTTAGATTGAAACAGTTTACTAACCTGAAACCAGTGCAAAAAGGCACACTAGTGCGAGTATAGACAAACGGGACATTTTCATCCTTGCCTTGGAAAGATTAGTCGAAATGTGAATGACCCACATAGACCTACGGACTAATTGCAATGATAACCTGGGGATCAATAAATTGAGGGGATACATTGTAGGCTACCTATGACTTCATAGTTCCTCGTCTGTCGGTCTATTGCCTCTGTAATGTTATTCATTTCTGGTACATTTGGTTTCCTTCATTTCTTGGATATTAAGATTTTATCGACACAGAAGAGCTAAGGTTCCTCCCATATACTTACACACAAACATGACGCCAGATGGCATCGCAAATAAACTTGGTGTTGCCGCAAATCGTATTCATCAAATAGCGCACAAAAATCGTTAAAATAAATGAATCTGCATCTAAATCCAAGGAAATTGAAATAGGAGTTCCATAGAGGTCTATTCTGGATCCTTTATTATTTTTATGGTATTTAAGTGATATGCCGAGCGATGTTCCTAATTCGAATATTGACGTGTACGCTGATCACATGGCTACTGATTTTGCAGGTACTATGAAGGGACCTTGAAAATTTGTCCTCATGAGAAAATACTTAATTTATAACGTAGCAAAACGGAATCTATGTCTTTTGCGTCCAAATAAAAGCTGGTCAAGCAACTTAATTTTAATATAAAATGCTAGGAAAAATTCCAGACAGAAGTTGAATGTTTTAATGTTTTTTCATTGTCACATCTTGATTACTGTGTTGCCTTAATATTAATGCAGACAATAATTGTGTAGTCAACCACTATTTAATTGAATTTTATATTTGTTGTGCATTTTCATATTTACTACTACTGTGTGTATGGTTTCATGTAAAGTGTTGTCATGTATTCATTGTTTTTTTCTATCGGCCTTCCTGTAAAATTCAAAACTACCGAGATTGAATAAAATGGTGACCCGTCACCCTGCAATGAAATACCGTGCGTGTTCAACCATGTTTTCCATTTATATTAACGATATAATGAACGCCCTCGACATCTTCTATGTTGGATTATATGCATATGGCACAAACTAGATTAATAATGATTTTCAGAGAGTCTGTGATTAGTTCAGTGCTAATAACCTCATGATCAATATTGGCAAAACTAACAACATGACAATAAATAAAATGCACCAAGTATTTAAAATTGAGGGACACTGATGACAGAGAGATAGAAAGCGTTTTTCATCTTCCTATTTGCGGTGTGACCATAAACATTTCGCAACACTACTGCCCCGAAACTAAAAATATTTTTTTATCTTCGACAATAATTCCTCTCTTGTTATACTATATCTCATTATACAATTTGAAATTTAAATCGCCTTATTATGTTTTCTTATTACAGTGCAACTTCAGTCCCTCTTTATATATATAAGCATTTTGTTCTCCACACCTGCCTTGTACATAACGTTTATGTCTAATTTGATCTACATCCAGACTGCCAAATCAAAATTGAAAATACTCAGCCACTAAGCACTGAAATACACTCACAAAGATATCAAAACAATAAAAGTTATACATAAGAAAACTGAAACAAACAAAGGCTTATGAGTACAGTAGACGCTTATTTTAAAACAAAGACACGCCATGAGAGTATGCATGGGTAGGTGACGACTCCCGTGCTTTATTTATTCTCCACGTGTGTAAATATCTCTGTGTTGCATATGTAGTGTTGTACAATTCGGAAATCTATTTTATAACAATTTACCGTGATGGCTGTGCACCGGGGGCTCGACCAGTAAACTGAGCTTCCGTTGGGGAACGTCGTGAAATATTCATATATATCTACTTGGATCGAGGTTTTGAAAGCCTAAATGTGATAGCGTCACATAGAACTGAACAAAATGTCCAATATTGTTTGTGTGACCACATGACGATTGATCTTGATTCATAAATTCAAATTAGTTTTTCTTTTGTATGCTGTATTCCGAAACCATAAGCCTTTTAGTCAGTGCAGTTTGGATTTTGTATCACAACCTGTTGTGTATGTATGGTGAATTAATTCATGGTTACCAGTTATGAAATGAATGTTCATATTTGTGTTCGTATTAACCACTGCGTGTATTCTTTCAATGTTGCCTGGCATATTTAATTAGCATAGTGCTAGATAAAATACCCTGTAGAGATTGTATTAACTTAATTAATGTTATTATCGATTTGACATGTATTGCCTAATAGAGAAAGCTGTAAGTTACCATTATTGGTTAAGGCGTATTAAACAGCGCCACTAACGACGAAATCATACCTTTGTTTTTTGTCAAATACAATTGCGCGTTCACTTTAACACGTGAACGTGATGAATGTGTTCATTGTGATATCACCTGGTAAACGTTGAATTGAAAGAGGATCTTGACATATTATTTTCCAAATATATCTCGAGAATAGTAATACAATAATTTACATCTATAAATTACTTTAGATCAAATGAATTCTCATATTCTTTTGTGCTACTGATGTTGCTCTCACCCCACTATACAACTTTCTCTTTTGAGCTTTCTTGGTATTATAATTATTCACGAATACGACTGTGTGCTAGATAACAATCGAATCTTTATGCACGTCATTCTCTATACCTAATCCTTCCGTGTGCGGTTGTATGCGAGTTGCGAAGGCGGGTAGTTGTGCTGAGCGAGCGAGTGAGGCCATGAAAGGCCATGAACAAGAAGTGGAGACTGAAGGAGCTCGCAATCACAATGGACAGATGGTAAACTAATGAGAGATGCCGGTGGAGTTTGTGAGGCGGTAAGACGGGGAAAAGAGAGGCCAGTAAAGGATGTTGAACGAGAGTCGGAATGTACCGTAATCGAGAGGAAAGAGGCTTGGAGGGGCCATTCAAACGTTTATATTAATTCCTCTATCAACTTGACATGTATTGCCTAATAAAGAAGTTGAAGGTTATAATTATGTGAGGCGTATTAAACAGCATCAGTACCACGAAATCTTTGCTTTGACTTCTGGAAATAAGTCACATAAGGAAATGTTTCAAACATGAATGAACTTGAGCAAATAAGATCTATTTGTTCTGTTCTCAAATCTCTTAACATTTTCAAGTTTTTGCCGATTTCGATGGGTAATCAAGATTTTATCTAATAGTGAAAATCATTGACCTGTATGGAATTATAATTATTATCAGGAGGCTAAAGAAGACATGTCAGTCTATATAGCTATTCCTCTTTCTATGTGCTTCAGTGAATCGTTCTGCTCATGTGCTCAATACATCAGTCCATTCACTGCAATATGGGTCCATCGTATTTCGACATGCACAAAGTGCAAACATATACAACATCCCACAACAAAATAATGAAGATGAAAATGTTATTCTGCTTTTATTTCAATGTTTTATGAAGAAAATGTTATTCTATTAAACCCAGCATCCTTCGCCACATTTAATCTTGGCAAATGCGTTAACTTCTTCACCTTCCACCATACAATTGATTGGCCCCTTCGAACCTGAAATGAAGAAGTTTGAAATTTAATTGTTTTAAAATTGTACTTTTCAGCTGACAGGTTGACTGAGATTGGCTGATCGACGCTTGCTGACTGTTAATTGTAGTGCAATGTGTGTTCAGTTGCGTGAAAGTTGCTTAAATGCGTTATTTCACTTTGATTGCAATCAATTAAACTCAATGCGTCCCACCAGAGCAATTATATTATCAAAATAGACAGAACACATCCCATACTGACACGATTTTCTATGTGTTGACATAAGAGCTCACCGTGATCTTGTTTAGCCTTGTGACATAAAGCATAATACTTCCCATTGGCTTTCATCTCTTTCAAAGTTTCACTGAACCATTCGGTGACGTCATTGTCTTTCCTGGCAATAGCATGATTAAAGGATGCCTCTGCACACTTGATGCCTTCGCTGATCTTCTGGTATCCATTCTCAAGATAATACTTTGCATATCCGTCCATTATAAAGACAGCGTCCAACTGTCGATAAAGAATTATATACTATATATATATATATCGCATTTGCATAATATTGATTATTTCCCATTATATTTTGCTTACACTTGTTTAATTAGCCACACATGTTCATATACGACATGTAAGATTTTAGCACATGTTTCTCAAAATGAAACAAGATCAGTTAAATCTTCAGTAACATAAATCTAAGGTTTAATAACGCAAATCAGTAAAACTGTTTTCATCACTCGACAAACCTACATTAACCGTTTGCTACTTACCAACATTTGAAATCATAAGAGACGATGACGAGTGTAAGTTTGACTAGAACACACAACGATTCTTGAAATTGTTTTAATCTAATTCATAAAACCTGAGGAAGTGACGGAATTCAATAATATGTAATACCACATGTAGTTTATTCTAATTAGTGTAGTTTAGGTTTTGTCACTGTATGTGATGTTTTTTTTTCTAAAAAAAATAAATTCAAATAATTATGTTACCTCTCCTTCTCCCAATGTGTTGAAAAGTTGTCTTCTATCAACAAGATATACAGGCGTCATCGTATCTGCACCAGCTATGTTTTCAAGACAAGACTGTCCCCCGGTCCATCCATCAACAAAGCCTAGATAAAATATATAGTTAGTGATAGCGTGGGATTAAAAGACTGTTGTGAACATATTCATACATTCAACAGCAATGTTGTTAAGAAACACACGGTGCTCTCCATGATGAAATTCGAGAAATTCAACTTACCAATTTTTTTTCCAGCAATATTAGTTGGGTCGAAGTCACCCGGGTTACCGTTTGGTACATACAGATGATTTATGTTTTCAACTTTCCAGTATGGTTCCGCAAATGCTGCTACGTGTGTACGATCTTTTGTTTTAAACCAATTCATACAAGCGTCATATTGCTTTGAAATAAGACCTGTAGTGAAAAATTAAAATTAAAAGCCAGTTACGTATAATTAGCTGAATAGAATTGCATATCATATAAGTTTTTTGTTTCATCCACATTTTGCTAATAGCAGACAGTTTTTTTCCAGTATCCCTTGTCTTATTAGGAAAGTACTCCTCTTCAATACAGTCTGAGTTTACTAGATATTTAGGAAAGTTTCTTAGCAAATTGTTCGATCATTAACGAGGGGAGAAAGTTTACCTTCGCCTAGTAAAAAGTGATGATCATCATGAGCAAAACACTTGGAATCAGGATCGTATTGTACTTCACAGTTTTGTCCAGCTTCTCTGCAAACTAAATAAAACAAGAGAACACATTGTATTCGATTATTGCACACACGTTCATGACTTACTAGACTGATTTACATAAAAAACTGTCAGTTGTACTTTAAAACAGTACACCCATTTCCACTCAAAACACCACCAATTTCATATAACGATGTGTCAGTAAATTTGTACAGAACTTAAAAAGGTTAAAAAAGATTAATACCTGCTTCAATGAGATCTATGGTAAAACCTTTCAGTGCACCATCATCTCCGCTAAAGAATATAAAGTGAAATGTATTGTAAACGTACCACATCATCATCATTGTTGTGGATGGTTGTTTTAATATTATGTATGGTATCTTGCTCCATTTAGTGACATATGCATTTCTAATAATATGAGTTTATTACGAATTGAGTATGCACGAAGACAGTACAGCGAGAGCAACGACCGACGCGTAGCATACAATGATGTATCCTCGAAATAACCTTCTTATTACACATCTTTCCCTTTCAAGGATACATCATTGGAATACCGAAATTCAAAAAGTTCAGAACAGAATCAGCAAACTTTTTTTGTGTGGAGTCCGGTCAAACTCTGGTGGCAGCCATGTTTGTTTTTATTATAAGAGGACGCTTACCCGCGTAATCATTCCATAATTGGAATTCGCATTTTCGTATATGGTTGGATGAAAATACCCCTGTAAAATACCGCAAAATTACGGCACGCTGTAACTTATGGCGTTACGATTACAGATGTAAAACAATTATGCGATGACAATATTAGCCCAAAGGTTGAACTGGTTAATAAAACTTATCACAATGATAACAAAGCGTTAAAAATTATATGATTTTCATTATATGATTTTCATTTCATTGAATGTGTATGAAATAGGTATTATGGTCAACATTCTGATGTAATAATTAGTCCCACTATTGAGATGAAATGACGCTACAGTAAAATCACGCACCCCCATCATTTAACTGTGCGTATATGAATTGCCCGCCACCTGTGGGATGTTTGAATGCACAATCCATATTTGGTTTCAAATTATAAACACTAATTACACTTACATGTAATCTAGAGCGCAGTCACAAGTTGGTGCCATGGCGAACGTGTACACCCTTTCTGATTGTTTCCTCGTTTTCAGTTCATCTATAATTTGTTTTCCCAGTTCGGATGCAATTTTGCGAACTACCAATAGTTTGGGTAGAAGATTTTCACCGTCGTTACTCTTTAATATGCAGTACAAAAACACAGGAAGTTATTGATTTATGAATGTGTACTATAGTATTAGGAAACAAATACAATACTGACAAATGCGAATGTTCTTATACTTGTACTATCATTGGTGATCCATATATGAAGCATCGTAAACACTATGTAACTAAATTTTGTTGATAAAATATAGATCTGGGATATGGCACTAGAGCGCATGACAATAAAGAAATACACGTTTAAACAAAATGAAACGTCTAAAATACAAACGATAAGCAATAACACACACACCAATATTAACCCACAGAAAATAATCATAATTTACAATCTCAAAAAATTTAAAAACAAGTGTTTCTGTTACGAAAATATTTGTTTTTGGCGACAAAAAAGTATTTTTCGAATTCCTAGTTGTACTTTTAGTTTTCCGATGCAACGCTAGTAGTACATCATCTGAAAGCTTACATATAGGCGAAGACAGTAGTGTCTATTCCGTACCAATGTTTGTTTAACAGATTACCCGATCGCTAAATTCGCTATTGTGCTTTTCTTATTATTTCGATTATTAAAAACATAGCTATTCACCACTTTTCATGTGAATGATCAGTGCATTGCACAGGATTTCGGTGACAATATACGTTAGCCGACCACGTCGTCTTATTTTTTGTATTATCTATGCTTGTTTTCTAGCTGCGACAAATAATTGCAGGAATGTTAATAGCAACAGATTATTGTTAGAATGTCTGTATAGTTTCCGGTAACGATTAAAATACTAGTTGCAATGTGTGTTTGTGCTACGAGGAAGAGGCGGTCAATTTGGAAGTGTTGTTTATATGTGCCACGGCCTGTGCATGGCATTTTTTTTAGGGATCATAACAAATTCAATCTCATATTTATGTTATTATACGAGATGGGG